ATAGATTTGGAAAAAGCGTATGATAGGTCCCAAAGACATTCTTTGGAGATTTTAGAGAGAAAGGATACGAGTAGCATATATCCAAGGTATAAGGATATGTATGAAGGTGCAAAGACTGCCGTAAGAACTCATGAAGGACAAACCGAAAGCTTCCCCATAACTGTAGGATTACATCAAGGCTCATCCTTAAGTCCTTACCTTTTGCGTTGGTAATGGATGAGTTAACAGGACATATCAAGATATTCCTTGGTGTATGCTTTCGCAGACGATATAGTGTTGATAGATGAAACTCAAGAAGGGGTAAATGCGAAGCTTAACCTTTGAGAAAGTGTTGGATCTAAAGGTCTTCGCCTAAGCCGATCAAAGACAGAATATATGGAGTGCAAGTTCAGTGCAAATGGAGGCCAAAATGAGTTAGGGGTGAGGATCGGAGATCAGGGAAATACCAAAGAGCGTCGTTTCGCTACTTAGGATTTATCTTAAAGAACGGAGAATTAGATGGAGACTCAACCATAGAATACAAGCTGGATGGATGAAGTGGAAGAGTGCATTCGGCGTGTTGTGTGACCGCGATGCCACTGAAGCTTAGGAAAAATTTTATAGGACGGCAATAAGCCGGCGATGCTGTATGGCACAGAATGTTGGCGTGAAGCATCAACACGTACACAAAATGGGTGTAGCGGAGATGAGGATGCTTCGTTGGATGTGTGGGCACACGAGAAAGGATAAGATTAGGAATGAGGATATCCGAGGTAAAGTAGGAGTAGCCGAAATTGTAGGAAAATTGAGAGGAAATCGGTTACGGCGGTTTGGACATGTGCAAAGAAGGGCTACTGACGCTCCGGTTAGAATATGCGACTATGGGACAGAGGTTTAGGGCCGAAAGGGTAGAGGAAGACCTAGGAAAACTTTGGAAGAGACTCTAAGAAAAGACTTAAGAGTATTTGGATCTAACGGAGGACATGACACAGGATCGAGCACAATGGCATTCTAGCCGACCCTACTCAGTGAAGAAGGCTTTGGTGTATTTAACACAATACGTTGAAATTAAGCAAAGCTTATTTATTGATATCTCCAATAAGTTACAAATATGTACATATACATGAGTCAAAATAAACAAACAAGAGGGAGCCTTCACAAAGGTTGCTTAGGAGAAGTCTCAGCAGTCGGTAGAGCCCTAGAAAGAGAAGGCACCGGAGGGGATCATCGAGCCTCAGTACTGGACAGAACCCTAGAAGGAGGCATCAGAGGTTGATCATTTGGAGCTTCATTACGCGGTACAGCCCCAGAAGACGAAGGCAATAAATGCATTTGGAACAAACCCACAAACCGCTGATGATCAAGTAAAACCTGACCATCAGATTCCTTCATCTGGTCAAGCTTCCTCTTCATGTTTGTAGCATAGTCATGTGCGGGCCGGTGCAACTTTTATTCTATGCTTGAGCCCTCTAATCTCTGTTTGAGACTTATCTTCAGCCGCCAATGATTCAACTTGGCGGGTTCGAGCAAATAGGCGCTGGGCCATATTAGACAACAGAACTCTGCACACTGAACTTAGAGCCAGAGAATCCTTAACAGCCAACTCATCAGACCGTTTAGAAAGTAGTCTGTTATCTTTGGGGTGAGACGGTTCCGGTCACCACCGCAGCGTCATATCATTCTTCACACGGAATCCCCACAGTAAGAGGATCAGTAGGGGATAAGAATGATGGGGCCAAATGTTGTCTGGAGAAGGCGTGGCTGCCTCTTCAACAAGGTAACGACGATCGGAGGGGCCAGACTCAAAAGGTTTGAAGAGAGAAAAGGTCGACAAATCAAGATCTTAGAAGTGCAAGAAAGAGCTTCTACTGGTGAAGATTCAAGTGTGCTTTGGAACTTAATGCTAGCCTTTATAAAATCTGCACTCGACGGAGCTTCAGAAATCGAAGAGGCGCCTCCAGAAATCGAAGAGGCTTGCTTTCTCAAAAGGGCTGCTCAGAGACCACGATGGTCGATCTCAAAAATCGAAGAGGCGTTTGCTTTCTCAAAAGCGGGCTGCTCAAAGACCACGAGGCCGATCTCAAAATCGAAGAGGCGCTTTGCTTTCTCAAAAGCTAGGCTGCTCAGAGACCACGAGGGCCGATCTCAAAAATAGAAGAGGCACCTTGCTTTCTCAGCCTTGTCGCAGCTGTCACATGCACACTCAGCTTTGCTGAAAATTACGGGCATTCTGTTTGAGATTTCTGGTGAAGTAGAAAGCACGGAATTTACTGTTCAATATCCACTTTCCACGCCCATCAGCTCATGGGTACCACAGATAACTTGCCAAAGATCTCTGACAAAGTTGACACGTGAAGCTTGCAGCTCCCACTACATCGCTATGACAGAAGGGTAAAAGAATAGCAAAGAACATCACTAACACAGTTTAGACACATAAATTTTTGAAGGTCTAGCTACCATATTATTACCCACAGGGTAAAGGAACAGCACACGTTGGAATTGGAAAGTCCCTATGTGTCAACCTCTGTGCTCCGTGGCAAGGTAGACTAGCAAACATGCCCACCTTTACTCACATTTGAAAAGCACTCCAAAAGATTGCTCTCCAAAATCGAAGAGGCACCGTTCTCCGAATCTGAGAGCCAGACTCCCAACATGATTACTTTCTCAAAATCGAAGAGACACCGCTCTCCGATCTCGAGAGACAGACTCCCAGCGGATTGCTCTCTCAAAAATCGAGAGGCCGTTCTCCAAATCTCGAGAGCCAGATCCCCGACATGATTGCTTGTTCGAACCGAAGAGGCATCGCTTTCTCAACTTCGAGAGCAGATCTCCTTGGATAAAGCTTGTCTGTAATCTTCACACGCAACATCAGCTTTCCAGATACCACAGACCACTTTTTTCAAAGTGCTCTGACAACGTGAAGCTGGCAGCTCTCACTAACCGTGCTATGACAAGCAGGGTAAAGGAATAGCATTACTACTTTGTTGTTAGGGAAACTTCTATATATGTCGACCTTTATCCTCAACGACAGCAGACCTGCAAAAATGCTTTTACCTTTTCCTCATATCTGAGAGGGCACTCCCAACGAAAGCTCTCGAAATACTCAGCTTTCTTTCCCCCCGATAATCCTTCTGCAAACAAGCTACACCAGAGCAAGAATATCTCATATCATCAGGGTTAAAAGCAAGAGTTACCATCTGCTTTTTCTTGTCTCTTCCTTTGGCCTGTTTTACTGTAAGACAAGGAGAAAGAGAGCAATCAGTCAGCACTTGGAATCAAGCTTCTAGTCAGGAACTGACTGCCTGGAACCTTGCCTATTACTTACCTGGCATTGCTCTCGAGTACTCATCTTCAACCATCTTATGCTTCCAGAGGAAGATACCACATCTGCCTGAGGAACAATATAGGGAAAGTGAGAAGGATACAAGGAAGCATGTGGAGACAAGCGTAACAGAACATGTGCCGATACATCCACTACTTTATCAACAGCAAAAGTATCCCATATCAGCAGGGTCGAACGTACTCTAGATTTGATGGACTTGTTTTGACCTTCAAATTCTTCAGTCGGCCTTATACTCTGGAGGAAACCAGAAAATCCTCCAGCCCATTCAAGAATAAGCCTGTGGAAAGTTATTTTTCAAAAGCAAAAGTATTTCATATCATCTATTCTCTTTTTCTTCTCTTTATCCTTCATGCTGCATGCAAGATAGGGAGAATGAGAACAATCAGCCGGAACTCGAAATCAAACTTCTGATCTGGGACTGATTGCTTGGAGCTCTGATTGCTTACCTTGTCTGTCACCTCTTTCAGCAGATCCCCTAGCTCGGCGACTTAGGGGACTTCTACTACATGGTTTGTATCGCGCTTGACCAAGTCTGAAACTACAAGTAAGCTTCAAGTGAAATTGATACATTACCTTGTGCATCTCCACCAGTTAACCACCCATGGATGGAGGAGTACTTCTAGAGAAGATGTCACATCTACCTATGAGACAGATAAGGCAAGTGAAGACGAGAGCTTGAACCTATGTCATTTGTACTAAATCATTCACTTGTACCACTAAAGGAGAGCTTGAACGCTATGTACTTTGTGTACCCTTCACAATAATGAGAAACTCCTCTACTCCGTGGACGTAGCCAATCTGGGTGAACCACGTACATCTTGTGTTTGCTTTCCTGTCTCTTCCATTTACATACTTATCCACACTTAATGACCAGAGCAATCTAGCGAAGATCAACAAACTTAATACTTTCTGTTGTACCAAAGTCCTTATTGATTTTTGTGCATCAACAATCCTTAATCCTTACCTTTTGCGTTGGTAATGATAGTTAACAGGACATATTCCAAGATGATATTCCTTGGTGTATGCTTTTCGCAAACGATATACGGTTGATAGATAACTCAGGAGGGGTAAAATGCGAAGCTTTAACCTTTGGAGAGAAGTGTTGGAATCTAAAGGCTTTCGCCTAAGCCGATCAAAGACAGAATATATGGAGTGCAAGTTCAGTGCAAATGGAGGCCAAAATGAGTTAGGGGTGAGGATCGGAGATCAGGAAATACCAAAGAGCGACCGTTTTCGCTACCTAGGACGGAGAATTAGATGGAGATCTCAACCACAGAATACAAGCTGGATGGATGAAGTGGAAGAGTGCATCCGGCGTGTTGTGTGACCGTCGTAGGCCACTAAAGCTCAAGGGAAAATTTTATGGACGGCAGTAAGGCCGGCGATGTTGTATGGCACAGAATGTTGGGTGGTGAAGCATCAACACGTACACAAAATGGGTTTGGACATGTGCAAAGAAGGCATACTGACGCTCCGGTTCGAAGATGTGACTACGGGATATAGGTTCAGGGCTGAAGGGGTAGAGGAAGATCTAGGAAAACTTTGGAAGAGACCCTAAGAAAAGACTTAGAGTACTTAGATCTAACGGAGGACATGACACAAAACCGAGCGCAATGGCGTTCTAGGATTCATATAGCTGACCCAACTTAGTGGGAAAAAGCTTTGTTGTTGTTGTTGTTGTTGTTGATATTGGGACGTTATTTCTTAATGTATCTCAAAAAAGCGTTAAATGGGGAATCTTCCATCCATGTCTGATTTGTTATTACGTTTTCTGAAAATTGTACTTGATAACTTTGACTCAGGTAAATGGGTAACAGAACTTTCAGAGTTGGCATTTGAAGCAAAATCATCGAAAGATGATGCATGGTAAGAATTCATCTATTCAAGGATAGTTTCCAAATCAGCTATACTTGATTTTATACGTGACATTTGAAACACTTGTTCATTGTTAATTTGTTATGTGTCATGAGTACAATCCCTATTTAATATAGGAGTAAAGTAGCAGATAAACGACTGACATCATTTAATATTCAGTATACATATTGCTCCTGTTTTGGGTTGGCTCTCGCCAAGTATTTCTATTCATTCAATAATTCCATGGGATTTCTCACCCTACTTAATGTACATGTTTGAAGAATTTGTGTGAAAAAGTAAAATATAAACTACAGGCAGATCACAATGTTTGAGTATAGTTCTCATGCAGTGCAGTCAAACTTAGGTTCAGAAGACAGTTTCTAACATGATTACGCTCTGGAAGAAAAATGAGCTAGCTTACTTGTTAGGAAATCAGCCAAAGTAATTATAATTGTTGGATTTTGTATAGTTTATTTTCTTGGATTAAGGTATGAAATCACCTTTATTCTGTGATATACTGGAGTTTTGGTACTATAAATTAACTCGAGATGTTTTGGGGATTAACTCATAAAAGCCAGGAGATAAACACCAATGCGAAAATTTGTACATGGTTTATTATGTCTTTCAATTCAAATCATAGTTTATTATTTCTTTAAATTCAAATTGAATTACAACTATACCTGACAATTTTTGGCGTTCCAGGTATGATGTTGCTACATTCCTCTCATACAGAGTAGTCAGTTCAGGAGACCTTGTAAGATTCATCCTTATCATTTTTTAATATAATCATTATGCTTCGTTTCGGTAAAAATGCAATTCTTATCTTAGGTCTACTGTCTAATTAAAATATTACGAGAACAATGCAATAAGTTGTCTGTTATCATGTCTTGATCTCTTTGTTTTATTTACAACATTCCCGGTATCATTTTCCATTTTTGGTTAGGCATTTATTTTTAAATGACTTACCAGCTAATATTGTCTCTGTTTGAAGAGAAATTTTAATATGTATTCCTGTTATATGTCACAGGAAGTTAAAGTGCGATTTTCCGGATTTGGTAGGGAGGAAGATGAGTGGGTGGATGTGAGAGGTGCAGTGCGTGAGCGATCTATTCCTTTGGAAGCTTCTGAGTGTCCGAAGGTGAAGGTTGGGGACCTAGTGCTATGCTTCCAGGTAATCTTTTACTCTTTCTTTAAATTTGTCCCATATTCTGCCTTACAATGATGCATGGGAGTCCAAAATATTGTAAAAGGCATACTTTCGATAATGCAAACCTTTCCCAAGATATTAGTATTCTCTTTTCGTTTGGCCTTAATACCTTATTTACAGGAAAGAGAACATCAAGCTGTATACTGTGATGCTGAAGTTGTGGTCATTCACCGGGGGCTACATGACATGAACGGTGCCTGCAAGTGTACCTTCGTTGTTCGCTTTGACCATGATAGCTCCGAGGTAAATTTCCAAGGATCCATGTGCAGATATGTTTGTATTCAAGTTCAATTTATCGCTCTAACGGTGCCTGATTGGATCGATGTGCTTATTAATAATATCAGGAACATATTGATCTGGGGAGGTTATGTATCAGGCCTGCACAAAGCACTTCAACAAATACTAAAACCCAACCGGAGCTCTTTCGAAACAGGGACATGAAAATCTCTTTTCTTTATTGAAATGTGGCGCCAGACAAATTACAGATTGATGTGTGAATGTGCTTTTAACGAGTCAACTTAGACGGTGATTGGTTTTTGACGGTTCTGGAAGAATGACTCCTCAAGCAAGGTTCATTTTTTATAGGCAAAATGATTTTAACGCTAGCATTTTCTCCTCATGTACACATTTGTTTATTTCTTTTGATTCTTTTTTGATTTATTTAATCTAATGAACGTGCACACTAGAATCGAGATATTCAAACCTTTGTGGGTTAGGTGATGTGATGGTTGGCAGTGGAAGCCAGATTGTACGTTGAGATTGTGCTTGCAGCTTAAGCAACTTTGAATATTCCTGACGTGACAATGCTTCAAGAGGCAAAAAATAAGACAATATTTGTTACTTTGTTTGCAAGAAAACGCTCTTTTAATTTACCATTCACATCAACAAGACGCTGTTTCCACAGAGACTGACCAACTATAGGTTTCGTCAACAAGTTTCTATAATTACAATTAATTAGGGCTTCATGTCATCAAAAATTTCCCGGCAGAGGCCGTCGAGACTCCCCCCTTTCAGTCGGGGATGGAAAGGGCAATGCTTCGTCCTTCATCATCTTGTCTTTGGAAGAACGGGATGAGGCACAGCCCAACCGGAAACAATCTTGCAACGGTGTCCAAGATCCCAAATAGTCGGGCAGCTTATGAAACTGTTCGCCCGTAACAAATGGATGCAAGATAAAGGTTCTTTGCCCACTTCTCCTGTAATATTCGGATACGAGTTAATCCCATGCATTGAAATCTCATCGGTAAGGGAACGAAACAGAACCCTGACAATACTAGATGAAATTGTATGTTACCTTGACGTGCGTACTGGGAAATACAGAAGTACGAAGCGTCTCCTGTGTTTCGTCTTGAAGCTTCCTCTTTGGGATACTAAGAACAAAAGCAGCCTGATCACACGTTGCTGCAGTTGCTGTTATGCGATATCCACTGTCCCACCGCCTATGAATACCTTCGCTTGGATAAAGAAAATCTAGCTCAACAACCTGAAAAACAAAATATTGTCTGCTGTTAAATAATTAGTTCCATACATACAGGACACGTTGGCCAGAGAGGAAAAAAGAGTCGATGCTGCAGCGTTCACTTGCCCTTTAGGCTTCTCCAAATACTCAGAGAAATGTGTTCTTAGATCCAAGATTACCTGGTCTGTATAATTTGCACCACGAGACATAACAACTGCCCATCTACTTCCAGAAGTGGCCATTGCAGTAACATGGAAACCCTCCCTCCACTTTTTGTTAATCCACTTATACGGAAATGTATCGCTTACTTTGTATGACTGCTGCGTAAACGTTGTACCTGGACCCAAACAAGTGAAATCAGCAATAAAAGAAAGCGGCAATTTTTTAGATTAAAATGTTCATAAAATAGAACCCCAAATGAACTAGACTATTTAGACTAACCCTTGGACATTACTACTAATGAACTCCCATTGGTAGCTCCTGCTATCGCACTGATGTAATAGTTCTTATCCCACTGCTCCATTATCCATTCCTTTAAATGCATCCGGAAAAATTCATCATGAGATTAAACAAATATACATTTTGAAATATAAAACCAAATGCTACATACAAACAGTTACTGCCAGCATTCAAAAAATTGACAAAGTGGAAGAACCGCTTCTAGCAAAAGTAAGTCATTATGCCAGAGAAGACGATCAATTCTGGTCGATTGCAAGTACAAGTATGTACCTTGTGAAGAGAACATGGTGAGAGTTCGTAAACTTGGGAAGAAAAAAATTAGTCCCTGCATCCATAATTAAGGCCCACAAATTTTCATAAGAGGCCACACTGCTAATATATAACCCATCCTCGGTCCCTTTATCAATATGCTGAGCAAGCCTAGTATCAGCCACATTATAGTGATACCTAAAGAAACGTGAGAAAAAAGCTTTAAACAATATGGCACAAAAACGAGGAAGACAGCAATATAACTATCAAACCAGAAAGAAAGATACACATGGTAAAATCTGTTATATTATCATGAAGAGAAGTCCCAAAACCATCACTAAATAAGCAATAGGACTGCTTCAGTCATAGAAATACCTTTGCTTCATTGGTCTATGAGCATTATAAACACTAATCCACTGATTTGCTGGCATACCCATCCTAATCCTCTTCTTCGGGTTGTTCATCGTCTTCCTCCTCCATACTCAATCTTCCTCTTTTATGACCGACCAGATTAATAAGCTTCACAAATAAGAGAGATTTATATTAGATGCACTACTCATACCTTTAAATTTTTTATGTAAATAAACTACTGCTCAAGGGTTAGCCATCATCAACAAAACAAGAGAAGATTATGCATACCTTCTGTGCACCCTCTGTGTTTATTGGCCTGATAGCAGGATTTGGACCAACAACGCCATCAAAGAGTGATATATATTTGGCATAATTTGGCTCTTCATCGAACTTCAAGTTCACCACATATTCCACAAATTGTCTAAACGGCTTTGGATTGAAGGAACACAATGTCTCTGGAGATGTTGCCATCTTCTTTTTGCAAACAAGAAACCCTTTATTGTCTCCCTGGCAAGACCAACATATTATAATAAAATGAAACGCAAAAAAATTAATGAAGCACGACAAAAATTTGAAGTCAAGCTAAGAAAGAAAGAACAAACCTGATATCCTTGCCAAGGCAGACGACCACGTAGAAGGAATACAAGGGTGTAAGCTAGAAACTCGAGATCATCTCTCCTACTACCCGTTCTACCTAAATGCGCATGCACACTAGCATAACGCACTGTTCCTCTGTAAAACCAGAAAACTTAAGGACTAAGTAGCAGAAAGTTTATTTTTATTTTTATTTTTAAAAAGAAGCATATAAATGAGTAGGGCAAACAAAACAACAAGATTGGAAAAAATGCTTGTACCTGAAACCATCTGGCCTCTGGTCATACTCTACATGCTGACCACTTGTACTTTCTCGCCATCTAGTTGCTGATAAGACCAAAACAAGTTATATAATGATGATGATGACTCATTGACAACTACCATACTACTAAGCAGTCAAAAAGTACCTAGTCCAAGGTCAACTAGATACAACTTTTTCTCATCGGGAGTCCCAGGAGGACCAAGCAGAAAATTCTCAGGCTTTACATCCCCTTGCACATACCTGAAAACAACATGGTAGGAGAGTTAAACCACAAATCCGGTGACTCTCTCACAAAACTACTTCAACAACCCCTCAAAAAATTTCTACATCAAAAGTTTTAGTTATCAAATAGTAAGTTGTGCATTGTGAAATTTCCAAACACTTCATTGATCTTATTGTCTAGACAAACTTTACATGCAACTACCTTCCTAATGTCCTAACCCTTAATTTTTCTAAAAATAAAAATTGTATGTAGAGAAAACAAAATGTCCATTCCACGTGGATTTGGATGGTCAAGGAACCTAAATGTGATATTAAGATACTAGATAAGAGAATCATAGGCTTACTATTTCACATCAATATTTCCCACATATAAACATCATCTAAAGGAATACATTGCATAACCATAACAAAGTTCTTAGTGGTTTCATGGATATAGTAACGTTACAGACCAAACTAAACCACCAGAGAGAGAGAGATAGAGGAAGAACAAAAATCAACTTGCTAAAGAAACTCTTACCCTCGAGAATGCGTCTTCTCCAATATTGATATTGCTTCAATGGCAATGCATGCAACCATTTCAACAGACATTCTAAATTTTCAAACATGACAAAATTACCAAACTGGAAATCATGAAAACCATAAAATAATAATTAAAGAAATTTGTTAATTTAAGAGTCACTTTGTAATGAAACTTACGTGTGAAGTTATATCCAAACTCCACAAGCTTGGCCAAATATCCATAACCTGCAGCATGAAGGGTAGGAATATTAAAAAACTAGTCCTGAACGAGTATATCATGCAACTATCAAAACATTATAATGTGGCTATCAATGTTCAAAACAAGTAAGCCAAAAGAACTGCATACCATACATAATAGCGCCTTGCTGCCCTGAATTACCGTCGCACGCCATGCTCTCAAGAGTGCTGTAAAAGAAGCACAAAGTAAATAGGATCAGAAATATTAAAAATTAAAAAACATACCACTTGTTGAGGCATTCTCACCTGATATTTGCCACTCAGCTGGTGTCCTAGCTACACCCTTACTATTTTATGCTCAATTTCAATGCCACCTAAATACAGAGTAGCAAAATGTAATAAAGGGAAAGCGAAAAGCAAGGAAAAGGTAAGACAGAAACTCAACACAAAAATATTAAAAACACGTTCTTACCTCTAAAGCCTGGCCAGTCTTCGTTTGTATTTATTACACGTCGACCAACATAGACTTGTCCGAAACCACCCTTACCCAGCTTTCTGTCCACTTTGTAAACAGGGGAACCACCAACCTGAACCTGCAGCAAACAAACATAGGAATTTCAAATAAAATTAAAGATGGAAACAACCATGCAGGTTTTAACCAGAATTCCATCCAGAATTCCAGATGCCGCACTTGTTGGACTAAGCATGGTGGTTGCTTGTTCTCAATACATATTATCACAAAATACATGTTGTACAATTCTCAGAGTTACAGCTGTAACTACTACTCATCATTATTAGTAGTTTTAAAACAATAGATTATTATTATTAAAGATATATTATGGGACAAACCTATAACTACAAGGACACAAGGACTCAGCGTAGTGATTGTAGAAAATGTAAATCAGGACATAAAAACAAAAGCTGCTTATACCTAATCCACCAACACATTTAGCAATACTAAAAGCAGCTCAAACAGTACACATGTAGCTCTGTACTGTTCACAAAATATCACCATAACTGCATTCCAACTTTAACAAGAAACTTAATTTGTTTTCATCATTACTTATTTGTTTTAACGAGTTTTAGAACCAGGACCAACTTCTCTGATTCCAATCAAAGATTCTAGACAGGGTTAACAAGAGGTCAAATTCAGGGTTAACGAGTTTTATACCTGTGACAACAAATTCCCATAAACATACTAAATAAATGGGCATGACCTACCACCAAAACTCTACATTTACATTAATCTGTTAATACAATTGTAGAAAAGCACTTCTTACAAAATCTCAATGATCTCAGACTTGAACCCAGTTGCAATTCCAAAATGGAAATCAAATAAAACCGAAAATCTTCACTTAAGCACAGCAGCAAACCCCAATGCCCCCATAATCCCCCATCCCGCAGACTATAAATACACCCAACAACTGCAGATAACCCACAATCGGCATTCATATTCGACAGCATT